GTTGAGGAATCTGCAGTGAACCTTATGGGTCTTCCTTTGTCAGTTAAGGACTTCTTTTGTCTTGCTGCTTTCGAATTTTTTTAATGATTTTTTAAAAGATTTATTTATTTTAGAGCACATGTGAGTAGGGGGAGAGGCAGAGGGAAAGAGAGAATCTCAAGCAGACTTCCCACTAAGCACAGAGCCCAACATGGGGCTCCATTTCATGATCCTGAGATCATAACCTGAGCCAAAAACCAAGAGTCAGATGTTCAATCGACTGAGCCACCCAGGCACCCACGATATTTTTCTTCATCACTATATTTTGCAATTTTAATTACAATATTTTGGTATTGGCCCACTTTTGTTGATTTGATGGTCGTTCTCTGTGTCTCCTGGATATGGATGTCTGTTTCCTTCCCCAGATTAAGGAAGTTTTCAGCTATTATTTCCTCAAATAAATGTTCTGTCCCCTTTTCTCTTTTGTTCTTCATCTGGGACACCTATGACACAAACGTTATTACATTTGATGGACTCACTGACTTCCCAAAGTCTATTCTTGTTCCATAATTCTTCTCTTTTCTTCAGCTTCATTATTTTACACCATTTTTTTTAAAGATTTTATTTAGTTATTTGACAGAGATCACAAGTAGACAGAGAGGCAGGCAGAGAAAGAGAGAGAGAGAGAGAGAAGCAGGCTCCCTGCCGAGCAGAGAGCCCGATACGGGACTCGATCCCAGGACCCTGAGATCATGACCTGAGCCGAAGGCAGCGGCTTAACCCACTGAGCCACCCAGGCGCCCCTACACCATTTTGTTTTCTATATCATTTATTCATTCCTCTGCTTCTTCCAACCTTGTGTTCATTGCATTGAGCCTGTTTCAGGTCTCAGTTACCTCAGTCATCAGTTCTGATCCCTTTTTAGTTATTTTATCTCTGTGGTACAGGCCTTACTGAAGTCTTCCAGGCTTTTCTCAAGCACAGCAACTATGGCTATGAATTGTTGCTTTCAATATTCCACCAGGCATACTACTTGGATCTGTTTAGCTTAGATCTCTGGCTGTGACCTTATCTTGTTCTTTCAGGTTGGATGAGTTCCTCCATTCTAGCATTTTGTCTAAATCTCTGACTTCTGTGTGTTATAAAAGTTATGGTTCCTGCTCCTAAAAGTAAAGGCTTTATGAAGAAGAAGTCATATAGTATCCAGGGCCTGGCACTTAAGGAAGTGTCTGGTGTGTGCATGTGCACTCTCCTATCATGTTTTGGCTGCTCTGTCCTTCAAGCAGTTGTATGCAGAGGCTCTCCTTGCCTACAGTGGGCAGTGTTTGGTCCTTGGCCAGAGTCTGGAGAATTTAAATTAGGTGGGCTCTGGTCTGCCTGTTAAATGAGACCTGATACTACTTTCACTAGAACTGAAGCCCCACAGAAGTCTCTGCTCGGGAGATGTGGAATGGGTAGAGGTTTCTATTAGTCTGGAAAGTGGTTCACCATTCTGGAACTGAGGCAAACTTGACCAAGAACAGCAGTTCCACCAGAGTGCAGGGGTGTGGGACTTGGTGTAAGGAGGTTAGGCAGCCAGTGTGAGGTGCTGCATTGCTTCCTGCAGGTAGATGTTCATTTATGTTGGGGAACAGGGAAGAGAAAATATGCCAACCGGTTTCTTTGTCCCCAGAGAAGATTGTGGCAAATGCTACCTGTCAGGGAGGTGCTCTAAGATCAGCAAATCATCTCCCCGTGTCCACCAGGTATTTAAAGGGGTACATGCACTGTGGTGTTTATAGAAGCTCTATCAATAATAGCCAAAATATGGAAAGAGGCCAAATCAACTGATGAATGAATAAGGAAGATGTGATGTGTATGTGTGTGTGTATACACACAAAATGGAATATTATTCACCCATCGAATTTACTCAGCCATTGAAAACAATGAAATCTTGCCACTTGCAATGATGTCGATGGAGCTACAGTGTATTATGCTAAGTGAAGTAAGTCCATAAGAGAAAAACAAATACGATATGATTTCATTCATAGATGGAATTTAAGAAAGAAAACAGATGAACATATGGGAAGGGGGAAAAAAAGAACGAGAGAGAGGGAAACAAACCATAAGAAGCTCTTAACAGAGAACAAACTAAGGGTTGATGGAGGGAGGTCGGTGGGGGATGGGCTAGATGGGTGATGGGTATTAAGAAGGGCATTTTTGTTAAAAAAATAAAAAATTTTTAAAAATTTAAAAAAGGACATTTTTTATGATGTGCACTGGATGCTGTATGTAAGTGATGAATCACTAAATTCTACCCCGAAACCAATATTGCACTGTATGTTAACTAACTAGAATTTATTTTTTTTAAAGATTTTATTTATTTATTTGACAGAGATTACAAGTAGGTAGAAAGGCAGGCAGAGAGAGGGGAGGAAGCAGGCTTCCTGCTGAGCGGAGAGCCTGATGCGGGGATCAATCCCAGGACCCTGGGATCATGCCTGAGTCGAAGGTAGAGGCTTTAAACCACTGAGCCACTCAGGCGCCCCAACTAACTAGAATTTAAATAAAACTTTGAAGGAAAAAAAAGCTGCCACCTTTAAAACTCTAGACTTTAAGGCCCACTGGTTGCAATAACTCAACAAAAAATCATCCCCTTGTTTTCCCAGGAGGAGGTAGTGGGGAAATGCTCTCCTTGTGAGTTCCCCTGTGTCCTCCTGTCTTGCCTCTCTCTGTGACCATGGCTCCCTCCCCTCTGCAGAACCCACAATCTGTTTCTCCCCCAAACAGTGTCTCCATACTTCCTACCTTCTTCAGTATGACTTCTCTCCCTTTAGTTGTGGAGTTTGTCAGTATTCAGGCTGATTTCTGGGTTATTTAGAATGATTTAACAGTTATCTAGTTGTGTACAAGGGATGAGACAAGCCTGGGGTCCTCCTAGCCCTCCACTATCTCCTCTCAATTTTTTATATTGAGATATAACTCATCCTGGCTAACCCTTAAACCATAATCTTATAAAAAGGTACTGATCCTGGATTTTATGGGCATTTCTAAATCTGAAGGCTACCTCCATATTCCCTGATCAATTATTATAGTCTGCATTTAGGAAAGTATTTTAATAGTTACCAAGACAGGGGCGCCTGGGTGGCTCAGGGCATTAAGCCTCTGCCTTCGGCTCAGGTCATGATCTCAGGGTCCTGGGATCAAGCCCCGATCTCTGCTCAGCAGGGAACCTGCCTCCCCCTCTCTCTCTGCTTGCCTCTCTGCCTACTTGTGATCTCTCTCTCTCTCTCTCTCTCTGTGTCAAATAAATAAATAAAATCTTTTAAAAAAAAAGAGTTACCAAGACATGACTTGAATTCCATAAATCTGATCCATGCTTCTGGACTTTGCCCACTCTGATCAAAGAAGGTAACAGAAGTAAACTATTTTATGGCCAAATTCTAACTTATTCTACATTTTTCACCGTAATAAAATCACATAGGTAATAAAAGAAATGGAGATCCAAGTTCCAATACATAGTAGACTACTTGAGAAGTCAAATAAGGAATGTTTCATGAAAGAAAGATTAGTAAAAATTACTGAAATTTTATTAAAGACCAGAAATGGTTTACTCTTCTCACTTTTTCCTCATACTCCAGAAGGCATCAGGACTCTTCTAGCAAATGGAATCTCTGACCTCTAAAGGTCTTATTGTTAAACTGGTTATTGGACTTTAAAAAGAGTCAAAACTATGGACTATGCAAATCCAAAGGAGAAACTACACATTGCAACAAACCAACCTGAGATTAGAAAAAGAAACTTTTCAGGACACCTAGGTGGCTGCCCTTGGCTCAGGTCATGATCCCAGGGTCCTGGGATTGAGTGCCCCATCAGGCTCCTTGCTCAGCGGGGAACCTGCTTCTCCCTCTGCCTGCCGGAGCCCCTGTTTGTGCTCTCACTCTCTCTAGCAAATAAATAAAAATCTAAAGAGAAAGAAAGGAAGGGAAGGAACAAAGGGAGGGAGGGAGGAAGAGAGAGAGAGAAAGAGAGAAGGTAAAAAAGAGAAAAGAAGGGAGGGAGGGAGGGAGGGAGGTTGGGAGGGAGGGAGGGACGGAGAAAGGAAGGACGGGAGAGAAGGAAGGAAGTAAGGAAGGAAGGAAGGAAGGGAAGGAAGGAGGGAGGGAGAGAGAAAGGAAAGAAGGAAAACTTTTCAGGCCATCTGGGTGGCTTAGTCAGTTAAGCGTCTAATCTACTTTGGCTCAGGTCATGATCCCAGGGTCCTGGGATTGAGCCTCAAATCGGGTGCTCTACTAAGCAGGAAGCCTGCTTCTCCCTCTCCCTCTGCCTGCTGCTCCTCCTGCTTGTGCTCCCTCTCCCTATCAAACCTCTTTCTCCCTGTCAAATAAATAAAATATTTTTTTTTTAAAATGATGCCTGTGTGGCTCAGTCAGTTAAGCAGCTGCCTTTGGCTCAGGTCATGATCCCAGTGTCCTGGGATCAAGTCCCACATCTGGCTCCTTGCTCAGCAGGGAGCCTGCTTCTCCCCTTATCTCTGCCTGCCACTCTGCCTGCCTATGTTCTCTCTCTCTCTGAAAAATAAATTAATAAAAACTCTTTTAAAAAAAGGTAAAAAAAGAAAAACTTTTCTAATCTAAAACTATTTAACTAACTGTACACTCTTGGAAAGCCCCCTTAGCCCCTCTGAGCTAAACTGTGGTGATTCTGGTAAATAATTACAACTTAAATAGTAAGGAAACAACTCTGAAGCATGTGAACAAGTATACAGGAAATCAAGAATAATCCAAATAATTCAGTGTCACAACAATAGAACTGTGGCTAATTTACTTCCTTGAGACTTGTGGAAGTGATTAAAAAATGTAAAAATCACTTTAAAACATAACAAGTGTCCTTTACTTTCTTGAACAAGATATCTGACACACATTATATAAAAATATTCTTACTTTATTATTAGAAAATACATAGAAACATCCTAATGGACAATTAAAAACATAGTGTTACACCAAGAACCCTGAACTGGAAGTGAAATAATTTCCGTTATAGTCCTAGAACCAACTAGAATTTTACTAGATGGCTGTTAAAATACCTTCCAGTTATTAAATTTGCATAAAGGGATCACCAATTTATCCTCATGTTCGATTTTAAGAGTCATTCAGCAGAGAACCTGGGTGACTCAGTCAGTTGAGCATCCAACTCTTTATCTCAGCTTTCAGCTCAGGTCCTGACCTCAGGGTCATGAGTTCAAGCCCCACATTTGGCTCCACACTGTGGAGCATACTTAAAAAAAAAAAAAGAGTAAATCAGCTGAGAGGTGCCTAACCAGCTCAGTCAGTAGCACATGCAACTCTTGATACTGAGGTCATGAGTTTGAATCCCATGCTGGGCAAACAGATTACTCAAAAACTTAAAAATTAAAGAAAGAAAAAAAAGTAAATCAGCTCCATGTCCATTCCTGGAAATAATAACCAATCAGCAATTCCCTTTCCCTCTACAATGTGAAAATCAAAACATCCCTTCATTTTAATTCATACCATCCTCAGACTTAAGGAAAACTGCAGTTCACTTGAGACTCAACCTCAAAACATATTTCTGAAATGCTACTGCCTTCCTCTTTTACTAGGTCATCTCATAGGATTGTTCTATAACCCAACATAGGGATAGAATTTTAGAGCTAAAAGTACTTTAAAATGAGGGACTGGACTAGATAAAAAGGGAAAATTTGAGGCTCAGAGTCATACAGTTATCAGAAGACCCATAACTAGAAGTTATAGAAACCACGGTCTTGGGTCCAGTGCTTTCTCAATATTTCATTCTATTAGTAACACTATGTTCCATGACCTGAAAATACCTTGACTTATTTTACACTACCCAAAGGTTCAAAGTCATTCCATTCCCTTACAAACTATTGAAGTACAGGGGCGCCTGGGTGGCTCAGTAGGTTAAGCCTCTGCCTTCAGCTCAGGTCATGATCTCAGGGTCCTGGGATCAAGCCCCGCGTCAGGCTTTCTGCTCAGCAGGGAGCCTGCTTCCTCCTCTCTCTCTGCCTGCCTCTCTGCCTACTTGTGATCTCTGTCAAATAAATAAATAAAATTTAAAAAAAAAACATTAAAAAAACAAACTATTTAAGTACAAATAGAAATCAAGCTAGCTATCATCACTGAATGGGAGGTATGTCATATAATAAATCTACTATGCCGATAATTCTCCTGTTTATCTTTGTTAGCTTAGCATTCTGTCAAAACCAGGAAACTGAACAAACCTCACCAAGATCTAACATAAAAGTAAGGACAGACGTCCTCCCTCTGCCATGTTTCCTAATTTTTAGAAAAACACACACAAATAACAAAAATTTATTATCATTACACAAATAAATATTGATTTTAACAATAACTTTAATAAAACATGAATAAAAGGAAATGTTCTGAATTCCTCACTTTGAAAATTGATCATGCCTAGCCCATACTACCCAAAACTAAGGAAATATGAACTATACCCATACTTCCTTAGATGGGTATCATTAAATATGAATAGTATCCACATGCAGAAAAATTTGTTCACCAATTTTCTTGAAAAGCTGAGATACATTTATTTTAATTCCTACCCCTTATTTACCTATAGAGATAGTCTCAGCGATTTTTTAGAAGGCAAAATACTATACATACCATTACCATAATATCACTCAAAACCTTGACAACCTCACTTCTGAAATGTTACATAAAAATATTCAGGGGCACCTGGGTGGCTCAGTCAGGTAACTACCTGACTTGGTTTTGGCTCAGGTCATGATCTCAGGATAGTGGGATGGAACCCCACATTGAGCTCTGCAGTCAGAAAGGAGTTTGCTTGACATTCTCTCTCTTCCTCTCCCTCTGCCCCTACCCCTGCTCTCACTCTCTCTACAAAATAAAATCTTTAAAAAATTTTTCAGAGCTATGTTTTAGAGGAAGGAATACCAAATTCAAATATAACACCAGAAATAAAGTGAGAAAAATCTCAAATATTAAAGATTAAGCTAAATAGCATAAACAGCATATTCTTAGATTACAACTATGACTATTTAAGAACATTTACAGTGACATATAAATTACTTCTGATTGTCCCTGAATGCTATTATCTATCTTTTCCCACATCAATCTTTCTTTTATGTTGGAAAACTTAATCCAAGAAAGTTATACTTAAGTTTCAAGACCATAACAATTTATTTTTTAAAAATTTTTATTTATTTGAGAGAGACAGAGACCGCAGAGAGAGCACTAGCAGGGAGGAGAGGGAGAAGCAGGCTCCCTCCCAGGGAGCCTGACACGGGCCTCGATCCCAGGAGTGCAGGACCATTACCTGAGCCAAAGGCAGACACCCAACCAACTGAGCCACCTAGGTGCCCCAAGACCATAACAATTCAAATCAAAGAAAACCAGGAAAAATACTTCCAGCAAATACAAAAGACTGACATCTGCGGGTGCCTGGGTGGCTCAGTCACTTAAGTATCCAACTCTTGATTTCAGCTCAGGTCATGATCTCAGGTTGCAAGACTGAACCCCCCATTAGGGTCCGCCCTGGGCATGGAGCCTGCTTAAGATTCTCTCTCTCCCTCTCCCTTCTGCCCTTCCCCACTCACACTCTCTCTCAAAAAATAAATCCATATTTTTATTTTAAAAATCTTGTCATCAAAGGAATATGGGCAGAGAATGGAAATATCTATAAAAGATGCAGTCAGTAAAACATGTTAAACTACTTTTAACCTCTTTATAGCAAGGTACTACTTTATACCCTATAACTTAAATAGCAATAACATCCACTGTCCAAGGTACAGTGAAATGAGTTCTCACATTCTGAGAACAGTGTAAATAAATGCAAACCCTTCAGAAAGCAACTGGTAAATGATCAAAGAATCATAAACATTCATAATTCACTAATCCCTCTCTTAATCTAAGGTGATCTTTTAGAAAGCATTTTAAATGTAAAGTTGTCACATTATAAAAATTAGAATTTTAATCAGTAAGAAGAGAGTTGTGTCAATTATAGTACAACTAAATGGATTTAAAATGACTATGAAAGAGGGGCACCTAGGTAGCTCAGTCAGTTGAACATCCAACTCTTGATTTTGGCTCAGGTCATGACCTTAGTATCATGAGATCAAGCCCCAAAACAGGGTCAGCACTCAGTCTGCTTGTCTCTCTCCCTTCCCCTCTGCCAATACCCCCTCATGCATGCATGCGCTCACACATGCACGCATGCTCTCTCCCTCAAAATTATCAAGGAACTGGAGGAGGAAGGAATAGGGAATTACCATTTAATGGATACAAAGTTTTTCTTTGGGATGATCAAAAAGTTCTGCAAATTGATTGCAGTAAGAGTTATACAACACAGTTAATTTACTTAATGCCACCAAACTGTACACTCAAAAATGGTTAAATGGTAAATTTTATGAACTGTAGATCTAAAAATGATTAAATGGTAAATTCTATTCTGTATACTATAATAAAAAGAAAAAATAACTATAAAAAACATTTTAAGTGAAAAATCTGATTCCCAAATTTAATCACAACTATTTATAACTATGTGAACATTATATATGCACATGTACAAGGACCTTTGTGGGGGAGATGAGACAAACCACTGGATGTAAGGCAGCACTTCTCAATGGGGGCAAATTTGCCCCCTCAGTACATATGACAATGTATGGAAACAATTTTGGTTGTCACAACTATAGGTAGGATTATCACTGACTTCTAGTGGATAAAGGACAAAGGATACTGATAAACATCTTATGATACACACAAGAATCCCCTTACAACAAAAAATTACCTATCCCAAAATGTCAACAGTGATTCTATTCAGAAATCTTACTTTAAAGTAACATGATTCAAAGAGTTCTTCCATATTTAATGTGTCTATTTTTAAAGGTTTTATGGTAAATCTAAAAATGCATTAAAGGCTCAGAGTTTTGGGCTCTTTTCCTTTCCCCTACAAACTTCCAACACAATCCATAATTTTTTACCCCAAAGAGAGAGAGAGGTGTGGAACCAAAGGACAAAAATGGGGAAAACAGCAAATTGTCACACATGAATTATTTTTCTGCAAACTATTCTTCAATGAATTACAACAAATAGAACAAATCTGGGACTGACAGGCTTTAACACAATTTCCACAGACCTGTCCATATGCTGATTTTTTATTCTCAATTATATTTTATTACTTCTCACTCTCACTTGTTTCATTACAGCAGTTTGTTTTCAAATTTGAGACCTATCACCATCTTACACCATTATTTCTCCACATTATTATAACTTTAAAAAATATTATTCCTCAAACACAGCTTTAGGGCACCTGGGTGGCTCAGTTGGTTAAGCAACTACCTTCAGCTCAGGTCATGATCCTGGAGTCCTGGGATAGAGTTCCACAACAGGTTCCCTGCTTGGCAGGGAGTCTGCTTCTCCCTCTGACCTCTTCCCTCTCATTCTCTCTCTCTCTCTCAAATAAATAAATAAAAATCATCACCAGTAATGGGACCAATTGACATCATGTGTCTTCTGCTAAGAGGCACTTAAAAAGAACCAAAATCCGTAACTTAATCTAATCATAAGGAAACAGCACACAAACCCAAATTGAGGGGTATTCTATAAAAAGAACTAGACTGTACTCTTCAAAAATGTCAAGGTCAGGGGTTCCTGGGTGGTTCATTTGGTTAAGTGTCTGACTCTTGATTTCGGCTCAGGTCATAATTTCAGGGTTGTGAGATCAAGCCCCATGTTGGGTTCCTCGCTGGGCAAGGAGCCTGCTTGAGATTCTCTCTCTCCCTCTCTCTCTCCCCTTCTCTCCCTCAAAAAGAAAATGTCAAGGTTAGAAGAGAAATACTGTATGATTTCACTCACATGTGGAATTTAAGAAACAAAACAAACTAGCATTGGTGGGAAAAGAGAGAGGCAAACCAAGAAACAAACTCAACTACAGAGAACAAACTGATGTCTAACAGAGGAGAGATGTGTGGAGCTATGGGTTAAGGAGCTGATGGGGGGGCACCTTGGTGGTGCAGTTGGTTCAGCATCCAATTCTTGGTTTCATTTTCTTTTTTTTTTTTCCAACTCCTGGTTTCAGCGTGGGTCATGATCTCAAGGTCATGAGATCAAGCCCCATGTCAGGCAGGCTCTGTGCTAGGCACAGTCTATTTGAGACTCTCTCTCTCTCCCGCTCCTGCTCATGCACACACTCTCTCTCTCTCTAAAGTAAGTAAATTTTTTAAAAAATGAAATAAAATAGTTGATGGGGATTAAAGAGTGTACTTGTTGCGACAAGCACTGGGTGTTGTATAGAACTGTTGAATCACTATATACTGTGCACCTGAAACTAGTATTACACTGTATGTTAACTAACTGGAATCTAAATAAAAACCTAAAAAACCTGTCAAGGTCAAGAAAACAATGAGAGATATAACTTCCAACTGAAAGAATATTATTAGGGCAGCTTGCAACTTTGAATATGGATTTCAGACTAGATAAGGGTATTATACATATTTAAAATTTTATGATATGATAATTACCCAGTAATTGTGTAAAACAATACTCTTGTCCTTTGGAAGCATTTAGGGGAAAAGGGACATGATGTTACGCAACTTACCCTCAAAAAGCTCCGGAAAAAAAAATATAATCAGAGAATATACAAATGATAATGTAGTTGAAACAAAATGTTAACTATGGTGACTCTAGAAAAAGGGTAGATAGGAGTACTTTGTACTCATAAAATTTCTGTAAATTTGAAATAATATCAAAAGTTACAAAAAATTTTGTACCATTTTAACTCTTCAAGTATCTTCCTTTTCTAAGAACATAGACATATTATAGGAGACCAGTTTCAGTTAATAAGACTCCATGTCCAATCTGAGAAAGCAGACATTTTGAAATATATCACCCTCATAATTTGCTTGAAAAAACAGAAAACTTTGTACATGTTCCCAACTCACTCCTCTATTTCAATACCAAGAATCATCATCCGTGATAACATTTAAGAATTTGACACAGTATGAAAACAGTCTACGCAAAGGATGGCATGGTTTAAAAAAAAAAATAGTATCTGACATCTAGTTTTAGTTTTATAGAAATCTCCACCCTTCCCTCTTTTCATACTTTATAGACCAGAGCTATTTTCTTGAGTATAATATTTACCATATAATTTTAATCATTTTACTTTATCACTGTTAATTAAAAGAAGCTGATATTACTCCAAAGACATTATTCGATTTTCTATGATATAAAAAAGCATAAAATGAAGATATTAATGTAGCATAGAAAGCCCTTTTAAATCTTTAAAAAAGCCTTTTCAAATCTGATCAAATAACTTTCTTTTTTTCACCTCTACTTCCCCAATCACAATGTCTCACTGTCCAAAAGGCACAAAAGGGCCCTTCTATCAAGTCCCTAAACATGACCTTTGCACCACCTAGACCATCTCTCCCCCTTGTAAACACTGCTACCTTGCCTTAAGTCCCAACTCAAAACTGCCATCCCTCTCTTTAGAAAATATTACCATTAACTCTCCGAGGAAATTTTTTGCTCTTCTTCTACATTTCTTGGTTCATATCTTTGTAACTATACTTAACCACATCAGTGTATTTCAGTTGTTTATTCCTTCACTTAGCTCAGTATTAATTACCTGTGAATCCCTATCATCCAGAATTGTGGTTATCAAACAGAAGGACTCTGCCCCTCCTACACCCTCACCACCCACAGGAACCATCCGACAATGTCTTTAAATATTTCCAGTTGTCAAAACTAGTGTGCGGTGTTTACTAGTATCTACTGGGCAGAGGCTGGGGATACAATGCATACACAGAACAGCTTCCCACAGCAAAGAATTACCTGGACCAAATGTCTATAATGCCAAGACTGAAAAGCCCTGACCTTAAACAATCCCTGGCTCACATTAGGCCTTAAAAATGTTTATGAAAATAGAATAAAACACTAATCAAAGAATTTAGAAACATAAAAGGGTATATAATATGGAATAGTACAGACTCAAGAATTGCCAAGATAGTACAAAGAATAACAATGTGGGCATTCATGCCCTAGCAGGGTTCATAGAAAGCTACAGTTATTAAGAATATGTGGGGGCGCATGGGTGGCTCGGTGAGCTAAGCCTCTGCCTTTGGCCCAGGTCATGATCCCAGGTCCTGGGATCGAGCCCCACGTCTGGCTCTCTGTTCAGCGGGGAGCCTGCTTCCCTTCCTCTCTCTCTGCCTGCCTCTCTGCCTACTTGTGATTTCTGTCAAATAAATGAATAAAATCTTAAAAAAAAAAAAAGAATATGTGGCACTGGCATAGGGATTACAACAAACACACCAGGAATGATGTCATATACAATGGTGACAGCAAGTAACTCTGTCCCTCCACTAAGGCAACAGTTACACTAGTTAAAAAAATTCCAAATAAACATATTTGGAAATCCAGAATCCAATCAAAAACCTACAACCAACAGGGAACAGTTAATAGAAAAAGCTACTGACTGTTTCTTTGCTGTGCAGAAGCTTTTGATCTTGATGAAGTCCCAAAAGTTCATTTTCACTTTTATTTCCTTTACCTTTGGAGACGTATCTTGAAAGAAGCTGCTGTGGATGATATCGAAGAGGTTACTGCCTATGTTCTCCTCTAGGATTCTGATGGATTCCTGTCTCACGTTGAGGTCTTTTATCCATTTTGAGTTTATCTTTGTGTACGGTGTAAGAGAATGGTCGAGTTTCATTCTTCTACATATAGCTGTCCAATTTTCCCAGCACCATTTATTAAAGAGACTGTCTTTTTCCCACTGTATATTTTTTCCTGCTTTGTCGAAGATTATTTGCCCATAGAGTTGAGGGTCCATATCTGGGCTCTCTACTCTGCTCCACTGGTCTATGTGTCTGTTTTTATGCCAGTACCATGCTGTCTTGGTGATCATAGCTTTGTAGTAAAGCTTGAAATCAGGTAAAGTGATGCCGCCAGTTTTGTTTTTGTTTTTCAACATTTCCTTAGTGATTCGGGGTCTCTTCTGATTCCATACGAATTTTAGGATTATTTGCTCCAGCTCTTTGAAAAATACCGGTGGAATTTTGATCAGAATGGTATTAAAAGTATAGATTGCTCTAGGCAGTACAGACATTTTAACAATGTTTATTCTTCCAATCCAAGAGCATAGAATGGTCTTCCATCTTTTTGTGTCTTCTTCAATTTCTTTCATGAGTGTTCTGTAGTTCCTCAAGTACACATCCTTTACCTCTTTGGTTAGGTTTATTCCCAGGTATCTCATGGTTCTTGGTGCTATAGTAAATGGAACTGATTCTATAAATTCCCTTTCTGTATTTTCATTGTTAGTATACAAGAAAGCAACTGATTTCTGTACATTGACTTTGTATCCTGCCACATTGCTGAATTGCTGTATGAGTTCTAGTAGTTTGGGGTGGAGTCTTGGGTTTTCCATATAAAGAATCATGTCATCTGCGAAGAGACAGAGTTTGACTTCTTCATTGCCAATTTGGATACCTTTTATTTCTCTTTGTTGTCTGATTGCTGTTGCTAGGACTTCTAATACTATGTTGAACAAGAGCGGTGAGAGTGGGCATCCTTGTCGTATTCCTGATCTCAACGGGAAGGCTGTGAGCTTTACCCACAGAATGGAGAAGATATTTGCAAATGACAGTACAGACAAAAGGTTGATATCCAGGATCTATAAAGAACTTCTCAAACTCAACACACACAAAACAGATAATCATGTCAAAAAATGGTCAGAAGATATGAACAGACACTTCTCCAACGAAGACATACAAATGGTTATCAGGCACATGAAAAAATGTTCATCATCACTAGCCATCAGGGAGATTCAAATTAAAACCACACTGAGATACCACCTTATACCAGTTAGAATGGCCAAAATTAACAAGACAGGAAACAACGTGTGTTGGAGAAGATGTGGAGAAAGGGGAACCCTCTTACACTGTTGGTGAGAATGCAAGTTGGTGCAGCCACTTTGGAGAACAGTGTGGAGATTCCTGAAGAAATTAAAAAGAGACCTTCCCTATGACCCTGCAATTGCACTACTGGGTATTTACCCCAAAGACACAGATGTAGTGAAAAGAAGGGCGATCTGTACCCCAATGTTTATAGCAGCAATGGCCATGGTTGCCAAACTGTGGAAAGAACCAAGATGCCCTTCAACAGACGAATGGATAAGGAAGATGTGGTCCATATACACTATGGAGTATTATGCCTCCATCAGAAAGGATGAATACCCAACTTCTGTAGCAACATGGGCGGGACTGGAAGAGATTATGCTGAATGAAATGAGTCAAGCAGAGAGAGTCAATTATCATATGGTTTCACTTATTTGTGGAGCATAACAAATAACATGGAGGACATAGGGAGATGGATAGGAGAAGGGAGTTGAGAGAAATTGGAAGGGGAGATGAACCATGAGAGACTATGGACTCTGAAAAACAACCTGAGGGTTTTGAAGGGGTGGGGGGTGGGCGGTTGGGGGAGTCAGGTGGTGGGTATTATGGAGGGCACGTATTGCATGGAGCACTGGGTGTGGTGCATAAACAATGAATTCTGTCACGCTGAAAATAAATTAAGAAAAAGACTGCTATTATCTCTAAACTTTTAATAAATACTCTTTATTAGATTAAGGAGGTTACCTTTAAAAAATAAAATAAAATAGTTAAAAACTGTTTTTACCAAATTAAATCAATAAACATTCCAATCATCACTATATTTCACCTGACAAAATATCTTATATTTTCCACCTCTTTTAAATAAACTAAAGGCCAGTTAACAAAACAAAACAAAACAAAAAAAAAAGAAAAAGCTACTGAACATCAGTATGAGAGCACTGTGGTGTTTCAACTTTATGTACCTACCATGTCCCATTCCCAGCTTGATGGAAGCCATGAAGATGGTGGCCCACATTCCTAGGGAACTTGCAGATGCCAAATGTAGTGATGTGGATCCTATTCTTAAAGAACTGTGGTTGTGTGTTTTGACCTGTTTGGTTGTTATCTGACAGACTGGGATGTGGGTTTTCTTTCATTCACCAACCAGAACATTCTCAGGAGGAACAAATTCCTAAAACAAACTGGATTTGTCCAAAGAATTTAAAGGCAAATATACTATCCACAGCCACCAGGGCAAGGGATAATACGTGGGCCAGGCACTTGACAGACATAAAAAGGATGGGAAGAAAGAAGTCAGAGATACAGGAGAAAATAAGAGCTCCAAAAAGCTCCAGCACATACCAAGGAATTTGGAAGGACATTCCTATGCTCAAGGCTAGACACATGCTCAGAAAAGACAATAGACCATAAACTTTCACCTTTATCTGACCTTTAGCTTCCACCCAATCAGTAAGTGAGAGTTACAAGAGTTTTAAATAACTGGCTAAGCACTGAGAACTACCCCAACACTGAGCCAATATGTTAAGAGAAAAAGTTGTTTTGATTTGGTTTAGGTTATTGTTTGTTTTTGAACTTTTTTTTTTCTGTCAAACCACTAACTGACCAATAAGCTACCAGAACAAACACTGCAGTACCCACACATGACAAATACAGCCTTTGTGAAAATAGGTTAGAAAGTTCACTAACTGGGGGCACCTGGGTGGCTCAGTCAGTTAAATGTCTGTCTTTGGCTCAGGTCATGATCCTGGAGCTGGGATTGAGCCCCACATGGGGCTCCCTGCTCAGCTGGGAGCCTGCTTCTCCCTCTCCCACATCCCCTCCCTGCTGCTTATGCCCTCTTGCTTTCTCTCTCTCAAATAAATAAATAAAATATTTTTTTTTAAAAGTTCACTAAGCAAACACCACAACAAGAAGCAACAACATACCCTGGGGAGGGGGGAAAATGTTTTCCAGAATTGCCATATTACAATATTCAAAGTACCTTTTTTCTTTTTTTTTTTAATTTTTTTTTTAATTTATTTGACAGACAGATCACAAGCAGGCAGAGAGGCAGGCAGAGAGAGACAGGAGGAGGAGGCAGGCTCCCTGCTGAGCAGAGAGCCCGATGCGGGACTCGATCCCAGGACCCTGAGATCATGACCTGAGCCGAAGGCAGAGGCTTTAACCACTGAGCCACCCAGGTGCCCCTCAAAGTACCTTTTTTCAACAAAAACAGAAGCATGCAAAGAAATAGGAAAAGTATGGCCCATTCCCAGGGAAAAAAGAAGAAATTAACAGAACTGCCCCTAAGGAGGCCCAGATGTTGGAATTAATAGACAAGGACTTTAAATAAACTGTTTTAAATATAATCAAAGAGCTAAAGAAACCAGCATGTCTTACCAAAAACAAAGAAAGAAACAAAAAGGAACCAAATAGGGCACCCTGGGTGGCTCAGTTGATTAAACAACTGCCTTCAGCTCAGGTCATGATCCCAGAGTTCTGGGATCATGACCCATATTGGACTCCCAGCTCCATGGGGAGTCTGCTTCTCCCTCTGACCTTCTCCCATCTCACGTGCACACGCGTGCGTGCGCTCTCTCTCTCTCTCTCTCTCTAATAAATAAATAAATCTTTAAAAAAAATGGAACCAAATAAAATTTTAGAGTTGAAAAATACAATAGCAGACATGAAAAATTTACTACAGAGGTACAACAGAAGATCTGACCAAGAATAAGAAAGAATAAGTGAATTTAAAGATAGCACCAGGGGCGCCTGGGTGGCTCAGTGGGTTAAGCCGCTGCCTTCGGCTCGGGTCGTGATCTCAGGGTCCTGGGATCGAGCCCCGCATCGGGCTCTCTGCTCAGCAGGGAGCCTGCTTCCTCCTCTCTCTCTGCCTGCCTCTCTGCCTGCTTGTGATCTCTCTATCAAATAAATAAATAAATAAATCTTTAAAAAAAAAAAAATAAAAAATAAAGATAGCACCAACTGAGATTACCCAGTATGAGAAGCAGAAAGAGGAAAAATGACCAGAGCACCAGAAACTTGTGAGATACCATCAAGCATAAAACATGCATAAGAGACATGCATAAGACAGTCACAGAAGAGAAGAAAAAGGAGAAAGAATACTTAAGTAATAGTCAAAGCAGCCCAAATTCATGAAATATATGAATCTACATATCAAGGTCAATGAATTCCAAGAAGGATAAACAGAAATCCATAGTGAGACAAAATATAATTAAACTGTCAAAACCAAAGAAAATCTCAAAATCAATGAGAAATGACAAGTACAATGGATCCTCATTAACAGTTGAACACCATGGAAACCAGTAAAGTGAGATGACATATTTAAAGTGCTGTAAAAAGGGGCACCTGGGTAGCGCAGTTTGTTAAGCATGTGACTCTTGGTTTCAGCTCAGGTTATGATCTCAGGGCTCTGAGATCAAATCCCACATGGGGCTCTACACTCAGTGTGGAGTCTGTATAAGATTCTCCCTCTCCCTCGGCCCCTTCCTTGGGCTCTCTCTCTCTCTCAAATAATTTTTTTTAAATTGAGTATTAAAGTGCTGCGAGAAAAACCAAGAATTCTGTATCTAGCAAATATAACCTTGAAAAATGAAGAAATATGCCAAAAATTCAAAAGCTGAGAAAATGAACTGCTAGTATACTTGCCCTACAAGAAATGCCAAAAGAAGACTATCAGGCTGAAATGAAACAACACCAAAGTATAACCTGGAGCTATATTATAAAATAAAGAACAATGGTAAAAGCAACCTCATTAGGTAAATATCAATACCTCTTTTTTCTTTTTTTTTATTTGTAACTATTCAATCTCTTTACTTGAGTTTATAATCAAAAAACATCCCAAAAAAGAAAAACCAGGATCAGTGGCTTCGCCAGTAGATTCTACCAAACATTTAATGAATAATCATCATTTCTCGAATTCTTCCCAAAAACAGAAGAGGAGGGAACACTTGACTCATTCTATAAGGCCAGCATTACCCTGATACAGAGAAACACATCATAAAAAAAGAGAAAACTACAAACCAATATCCCTTATGAATACTGATACAAAAGTCCTAAACAAAATCCTAGCTACTGATTCAAAAATCCTAAACAGAATGCTAGCAAACAGAATTCAGTGACACATCAAAGAATTATACACCATAATTATACAATTATACACCATGACCAAGTAGGATTTATCCCAGGAATGCAAAGTGTGACAAAAATATATCAATGTAAAATAGCACATATATAGAAAAAGGGGGGAAATCACATAATCATCTAAATTGTGGTAATCTTTACACCCTACGTGGGGCTTGAACTCTTGATCATGAAATCAAGAGTCACAAGCTTCTGACAAAGCCAGGCAGGCACCCCTGGAATTGATTTAATTTCTTTTAAGCAATGTTTCATAATGTTCATTGTACAAGTTCTGAAACTCTTTGATTAAATTCATTCCTATATATTCTTTCTGAGGCTGCTGTAAATAGCAAAAATATTTTCTCAATATCCTCTTTGGATTGTTTATTGCTAGTGTATAGGAATATAACTGCTTTCTGTGTGTTGACCTTATACCCTGCAACTGGGCTGAACTCATTTATTATCTCTAATAGTTTTTTGAGGATTCTTTAGGATTTTCTACATGTAAGATCACATCCTGTACAAACCACTTCATCCTTTACTGCTTGGATTGGTTTTTATTTTTTCTTTTTTAACTTCTGTTGAATAGAAATGGCAAAAACAGGCATACTTGTCTTGTTTCTGATCTCAGGTTGTAAATTTTTAGTCTTTTCACTATTAAGTATATTAGCTGTGAGTTTTTCATTAATATTCATTATGCAATTGGGGAAGTTCCTTTCTCTTCCTAGTTCTCTGAGTGTTTTTATTGTGAAAGGGTGTTGAATTTTGTCAGATTGTTAAGTATCTGCCTTTGGCTCAGGTCATGATCCCGGGGTCTGGTCCTGGGATGGAGTCCTCCATCGGGCTCCTTGCTCAGCAGGGAGCCTGCTTCTCCCTCTGCCTGCTGCTCCCCCTGATTGTGCTCTCTCTCTAACAAATAAATAAAAATCTTTTAAAAAGAAAAAGAAAATAGAAGAGTAAATCTTCATGACTTTAGACCTGGCAATCATTTCTTAGATGGCACCAAACACTCATACAACAAAAGAAAAAAATAGATAATAGTTTGGACTTCATCCAAACTGAAAACTTTCATGCATCAAAGAACACTACCAAGAGTGAAAAGAAAACCCAAAAAAATGGAAAAAATATTCACAAATCATATATTTAATAAGGGATTAATATCCAGAATTTGTTTAAGT